CCCAGCCCCGGGGGTCGCCCCCTCGGCGGAGGGGGGAGGGTGGCTTGTGCTCCTCTCCTTCCCGGTAAGGAAAGCTCGTCTCCCTCTTAATTTGAGGTCTCAGCCTAGTTTCGGCCTCCTGTTTACATAAGGAATTAAAAATAGCGGAATGGTTGCGGGGAAGCCTTTATCTGGGCAGCGCTGCCTCCCCATCCTACAAGCGGCTGCCCGCTTGTCCCCTATCCTCAGGGATTTTGGGGAGGGCTTTTTGTCTTTTAGACGCTGATCTAAACGGTCCACCGTGTATCTTACCCCCGCCCCGAGCTCCAAAAGGTGTGGGTTGGGTGCGGGTAAATTAAATAAAGCAGAAATGAATAGGGAATGAGTAAGGCAGAAAATAAAATCGACCCAGAGGAATGATTATGCTCACTTAAAAAGAGGTGGAAGGGGGAATTATGGGCTGAAGATGGAAATAAACAAGCGAGCCTGGTCCCTCAAAACTTGTCTGGGCGATGTGGATGAATGTCGTAGGGACACTGCTGGAGTACTGTGGAAGTCATTGGGTGCCAAAGCATGTTAAACAAAATTGATGCTCAGTTGGTTTAGTGTCAGTAATAAAATATATATTATTTCTAGCTAAATAACTGTTTTAAGTATCCATCAAAGCTTCCATGTATTTTTTTACGCAGTTGGCTTTCTAAATCGAGCTGAAGTTTATGTCAGCTGAGAATAAAATACAGTATCATGCAGCTGAGGTGCATGTAAACATCCCTATTTTTGATAGCAGAGAATGGCTTTAAAAATGAACCCAAATACTAGAAATGTTTTGAATGATGGTTGTGTGTACTTTGTGGTACAAACAATACCGTGCTGCAGTTTCAGCAAATTGCTTTTGAGAATCATCAGCAAATTGTATGGAAATTTTTGTCAGTGTGTTGTTTCATTGTGTGTACCGTTAGTCTGCGCAGGGCTGTTTTGGGGTTGTTGATCTGGACTTGAATTGAATTTCACATTGGTCCTAACTTTCCTTCGCATTACAGAGTATCAGATTTGTTTGATCCCATCCTGTTAAACAAAATGTTTTCCCTGTTTACATTTCAGGGTGGTAGAAAGTCATCATTATTTTATGTGCTGTAGTAAAATTTCCGGTTTGATTTGCCACCTGGTAGCAATCCTAAGTGCATTTTGAGGGCCAAAACTTACCTGCATGTCACACACACATATTTGTCCATAGGAAGAATTTGATAACAGGGATTTGTTAACAGATTTATTCCACTAAGAGTAAGTTGTTTTAGCTGTTGAACTTTTTTAGTTCAAGGCTAAATCTCTGTTGCTGTCCATGAAAGGTGAGCTGTGTGATGCCAGCTGCATGGGGCTTTTTGTAATGTCAATCTTCAAAGCAAACTGCTATCTGCAAAGCTGAAGACCAGTGCATATCCTAGTTGTTGATTAGTAATTTTAGGCCTTAAATACCTTGGCTTTTTTTTTTTTAACTGCAGTTACAAAGAAACATAGAGTTAGCATCCTTGCAGATAAGTCAAGCCTTTTTTTGTTGTTCAGCTTTTTTTACACAAATGCCTTTACACTTCATCAGTCAGATGTTTAGCTTTTGAAACACTTATGCAGGTTAACAGGAGAGCTGAAAGCTTTTTTTTTTTCTTGTTTTGTTTTTCTCAGTATTTTTTTTTTTAAATTTGTAGTGAGGCACTGCAGGAAGTCAGGGGAAATGAGTCCTCTTCTCAGAGAAATTCAATAGTTGATCTCTGCTGGGGTTGTCAGGAGAGATAGCAATCACAGTTGAGGATATTTATTCCTTGTGAGCTGGATGGAGTGCTGATTGACTTCTCCGGGGGGAAAAAAATTGAGCAGACATGGGAGAACAGTTGCTCTTGGGGGGGGCTTGGGTAGCTGTTGAGCCAAAACTCTGAAGGTGAAAGGCTGCTACCTGTTAGTGGTCCCCTGAGGAGCTCAGTCCTTTTTTTTTTTTTTACTTTTTTTTTTTTTTTGGTTTTGCTTTTTGCACCCCCTGTGTGCAGGCCAGATTCCTTTGCAGCCAGTGGAGTCTTTTGCTGGTGCCTGAGAATGTGCCTCTGCCTGTCTGCAGCCCCATCGATCAGAAGTGGTTGGGCCAAGGAGCTGTGAGCCATCTCCAGCGGCCAAGAACAGCTCCCTTCCCGGGAGATCTGCACTCTCCCAGGTGAACCGGCGTCTGCTTCTGTCCCCTAATCCGCAAAGGCGGCAGCAGCAACGCAGATCCCATCTTCAAGAATGTCCCTATGAAATCAGCTTTGATACACGGCTTCCTACTGTGCTTAACCATCTGATTAGTTGCCTGCTCTTGTCTGAGAATAGCACACATACACTAGCTATCCTTGCCTTTTTTTTTTCCTGCTGGAATTGGATAATGAAATTGGATTATTATTGTTTCTTGGCAAGTGTTTTCTAGTCTTTAAAAATCTGACTTGTATAACACTTGGTTCATCTGGGAGAAGATACTGTGTATGCAAATTAAATTACAATCAGCACTGACAACATGATTAAATTGTTATAGGTAAAAGAGTGAAATAGATAACAATGAAATTGTGATTTAAATATAAAATCAAATACTAGGATTATCTAATTTCCAGTAAAGATAAATAGAAGGGGGAAAGCTGATAGCATTTTTGACTTGAGAAATCTACTTCAACTTTGTTTTGATGTGCCGGACCTGTAGAGTTCATATTTTGCCACCCACTTTTCTGAGGAGGCAAGAAGAAAAGTAGTGTAAAACTCTTTTACTTCAGTCTACCTTTTGTTATTAGAATATCATATTGTAGGGCTTTGCACTGTTACAAATTATTAGTTGTCAGGACAGTGAGAATACAAAACTAAACTTTTAAGTATTGCATATCTTGCTGATACATGTGTGTATTTTGGTTAAGGTTGTACGTCTTGCCTACCAAGACTCTCGCTTCTCAAGAGAAATCACTCAGTCCTCTGCAGTGGTGCAGGCGTGTTCTGGATCATCCAAGTCCTGAGATAGAGGCTGCAAAACGTTCCCTATGCTTTAGATTGGAACAAGGTAATCTTACTCTTTGAATTTCTCTGCTAGTAAGTTGGCATTTTTGGTCTGGCATTTCACTTGTTTGGTGTTTTTTCACAATTTAGCAAGCTTTACAAATGGCAGACATGCAGTTTTTTCCTATGTATGGGCGTCTTCCTCCACTACATAAATGCTAACAATTGTTGGTGTTTTTTCTGATTGTGCATTTTTTTTAACATGTTATCTTTCTTTGTTATCCTTTTCTTCCCCTGCATAGCCCATGATTTTTAAACTTGGCAGTCTTCACTAACAATTGTTGGTGTTTTTTCTGATCGTGCATTTTTTAACATGTTATTTTTCTTTGTTATCCTCTTCTTCCCCTGCATAACCCATGATTTTTAAACTTGGCAGTCTTCATCGATTGTTTAAAACAGTGGTTACCTCTTGGCAAGAAAACTTTGATAACTTTACTATTGGAATCTCTATTGAGATTTGAAAAAAAAGTGCTTTTGTTTTTTTTGTAAAGCCAGAATTATCACGGTGCTATAAATTTCTAAAGGCATATTTGTCCACATGTAACATAGTATCGGGACTTTGTTAACTACTGGACAGACAAAGAAGAGCTATAATTTGATTGCTAGCACTGCTTTGTTGGGCTCTCGTTAGTCTCGAGTACTGGGATCAATCTGATGGCTGTTCATTGCCAGTGAACTTGTAGAGTTCTGTGTGGGTGTGCCGAATTTTGTTCTAAAATAAATATCAACCAGCATTATTTTTAATTTTTTTACCATCTAGGGTCCAATTAAGCTTATAGCAAGTGTTGTTGAAGATAATGATTAAGGTGTATGATATTATCTTAAGGCTTCTAACTCACTAGGAAAGAAGCAGTGAATGAACAATATAGGAAGATGACAGGAGAAGGAAATAAAACTAATGACAATATAAGCATATGGTTGTGTAAGCTAGCTACAGCTGTCATTAAGAGAGATTGAGCAGGTTCCTGTATACTTTGGAGGATATGGGTAGTTGTGGGTTAGTCTTAACCAAAATCAGGTGTTTAACTGAGTCAATCTGTGAAGGCATCTGTTTCTTTGCATTGACTATAAAAGATCCCACAATGGTTATTGTCCTAGTGATATTCAGTTGAGCTCATTTGCCTAAAATTAGGTGGGTCAAACTGAGGTTCCTGTGTTGGTAGGCATCCCACGTGGCTTTAGGGTGGAATTTGGCTCACAGTTCGAACACCTGAATTCAGGTGTCTGTAGTGTGAGCTGGGTGTCCCTGCTTGGCAGTCAATGGGAGTCTTGTCCAGAGAGTCAGAGAGGAATCTGGGGAGCTGCCCATGTGATGAGGTGTAGGTGTTCACCTTAGGATGAAGTCAGTAGCTCTCTGGAGTCCACTGACAGTCATGGGTGCTTGGCACTCAACTCCAGTCCAGTCACCTGAAGGTATGTCTGTGTGGTGTAGGGTGTCCCAGTCTGGAGCTCCATTTAGATTACCCCACACAGGCATTTAGTGCCATTTGAGATGGTCTCACTTACCCTGACTGACCTCCAGCTTCCACTCAGGATGGATACAGACCTTCCGTAGGTCCTGTGCCATATCTGTCATTCCTTTGATGATATCCTGGCCTCACATGAGCACCTCAGATGGGCCAGTGTATCTAGGTATGGGCAACTGAATTGAGTCTATGTCAGTATAGAAACAAGTCAGAGGAATGCATGACCTATTTTTCCCCTTATAAGGTAGTATTTAAATTTAATAGGCAATAAAGACATTAGAAAGGCAAATGTATTATTTCAAATTTAAATCACTCTATGATTATCAGTTCGATCTCTGTGCAGAAGTTGCAGTGAATGACATATGTCACAGAGTTACGTTGACAGTGAGTTGCTTTGATCCATATGTTCTACTGGTGGTGATGGTTCATGACTCTTGCGGTCTCTGTAGAAAGTTTCGGAGAACTATATGCCATGTGTAAAACCCATATGGGAGCAGTATGTGCAAGGAGGGAATGGACTTATGTTTCTACTGCAGCAATACTATGCTAAAATTGTTTTAATTAATAATTCAGTTAGACTTGATTAACTCTCATATTTCTAAAGATTTTATCACCTATACATTTACAAATAATACATAATAAGCAAATGTCCTGTTTCTTACCCTAACTTTGTAGAAGTTGGTTTCACAATATTTATTTGTTCCTCAGTTTTGAAACCAGGTGTGAGATTTTTGTAAGAATATAATAATTCCGTTTTAAAGTATAACAGAATTGCTGTAATCTGACTTTCCTGGGTTTTGTTTTGCAGTCCTCTCTATCAGTCAGTGTGTATGTATAAATACATACACAAAATTCCATCCTAATTTTAAAAGTGACTCAGTAAGAGTGGGGTGGTTCTTTCCTGGTGCTAAAGTTTCAAACTCTGTACTTGTAAGTTGAACAGTGTTTTCCCCTTTTAGCTGTATGCCTTGAAAGGACGTTTTAGAGGGATTTTTGAAATCTTCTTGTGGCTATTCTGCTTGGCACTCAGTCAATGGTAACACCGATATGCTTGAGAATTATTAAACATGCAGTCAAAAAATGTGTATAATGTACCAATCTGGGATTTCTGAAATGGCTTATAGGTAGGATTTGCTTAGTAATTTTTTTCCATGGTGCATTAATCAAAAATTAATGCGGTTTAGATTGTCGTAGCTCTTTAGGCACTATAGTGCGCATAGAAATAAAAAGCAGTAAAGATTGATTTATTATTTTTTTTTTTTGTCTGCAAAGTCAGCATATCTGAATAAGTGCACACACGGAGAGGAACTGTGAGCCAAAAAAAGTAAAATTTTGCCAGGCTGTTTTTCTGAGTTTTAACTAATTTCTGTTCTCTTATTAGGATTTTTAAATCTGTGCTCATTTATTCCTGCTCATGTAATTTTTCCTTTATTACATTATATCCTGATTTTTATAAAAGTATTCATTTGTGTCTGAAATATTCCAGCATTAAGATAGCTCATAACAAGGCTGAAAGTCTTGTGAGACGCTCCTTAGGCAGTGAAATAATACAACTGCTTTCAGGCTGAAGAATCACTTGACTGATGCTATTTTACTTTTCACCTTGTTGTGCTCACCAGCCTGTTGCTTTTCTTGTGAAAATGACTGTTTTCAGTGTTTCATGGTGGAAGTAAGATTTCATCTTGGCATAAATCTTTAAGGGTATAAGCACAGTGGTGGTCTCCTGCAGGTGGTTCTTTTGTGAACCACTGTGAGAACTTGGACAAGCTTCTCAATGTTCCTCTGGTTTATCACTAAATAAGTAAAGCGTGTATCTAGTCTATAATGAACCAGGCTTATTACAAGCCCTGTTTCTGTGGATTAAGCATGCTAGCTTTAAGGAGGATGAAAGTTAAATTAACCTCCAGTGATAAGATCTTTGCTTGGAATTGTTCCTGTTTTCCGTGAGTGAGCCGTTCATTTGCCCAGAGAAGTGGTTGAGGCCCCATCCCTGGAGGTGTTCAAGGCCAGGCTGCACGTGGCCTTGGGCAACCTGGTCTAGTGGGAGGTGTCCCTGTCTATGGCAAGGGGGTTGGAACTCTGTGATCTTCAAGGTCCCTTCCAACCTAAACCATTCTATGATTCTAGTGTTGAGGTAGTATTTGTTTGTGGGGGTTTTTAACTCTGTGACCTGAACTGGATCACTTTCTTTTTTGTTCTTTTTCAGTTCATCTTTTGTTTGAAACCTTTCAGGTTTGTTTTGTTTATGGCAGTTGTGCTTGTACATTAGGGTCAGTTCCATCTCCCTTTTAGTTTTTAATCTTGCTGTCTATTTTATTTTAGATTAATTCCAATCAATAGGGCCACATCACAGTCTTAACTGTGACATGGAGCTGCTTCTATATTTTCTTGGTAATACTTCGAGATGTTGGGACATGTCAGTATTAAGCCCAGTGAGCAGAGAGATGCAATGTGTAAACTTCCTAGCTGGTGCAGACGGGTATACCTCTTCTGAAATCGATGAGATGGTGTTGATTGACACTCTGGCTGAAGATCCCTTATATAGGTTCCCTTCTGTAAAGCGCTCTGGAGCGGGTGGGTGGATAGAATGAGGAGTTAAGAGGCTTAGCAAGGAGTCGGTCTGTAGGAGCTCAGCTTTTATGCAGGGATTCAAAGCATATCTCGTCCAATTCAGCCTTCCAGATGGAAAACTCCTCTCTCTTGGAGAATATGAAGTATTGGCTAGATTGAGTTTGGCTTAGATTGAGTTCTTATTCAGAAACGCTGCTTCAGATGCTTAAAAAGAGTAGGCAGCAGTCTGTAGGTTTTGCAATTGGCTGCAGTAATTTATAGTCTTAAGATTAAACTCTGCTTCATTTCTTAAAATGAATAATGTACTTTAGGATGAATGCTGTTATGTCATCCGTGGATGGTAAAGTATGTTGTGAAACCGGTCCATTGTAGTTTCTCTCCAATTGCTTATGATTTCACAAAACCCAAGAACTTCATTAGTGAAATTTGAGCCTTTGTTGTGCTGGATCCCAGTGTCACATGTCCAAACATATAACACCCAAAAGGAAAACTAGAGGGGAGGGGGAAGATGTGATTCGATAGTACTATATTCTCTTTATATGTAAAAAAAAAAAAAAATAATCTTACATCTCATAGGGCCCCAGGCAGAAGGTTTTACCTGTATATGAAACTTGTTGCTTGCACAAAGAGGTGAGGTTCTGTCCCATTCTCCTAATTCTCTTCCCCTTCCAAGGGTTCATAGTGAAGTCATTTAAGATAGTGAAGTCTTTAAGATACAAAATACATTTCATCAACTTAAGAATTGCTGTCACTGGGAACTGATACACTGTAGGCTGTTAACAGCAGAAGCAAACAGAAAATACTGTAAAGGGACAAAAGCTTTTATTTTGTATGCTTGAGTTGGATCCAGTGCTGCACCCAGTGCAGGGTGGGATTTTTTTTTTTAGTATTGTAAAATAGGTTTAAGTCTATTTGCTGTCCATTGATGCATCAGAGATGTATGTTATAGCACTGAGGACTGCATTAA